AAGGCCATTTCCTCAACTTGAAGAGACCGAAGAAAAGCCATTATTGAACAGACAACAGGTGACAATAGCAGCACAGAGAAACCAAATTCGAACTACAATTAGATAACAAGTGAGTTAGCAAAGGTACGAATAACCTTTGTTTAAATTACAAGGATCAATTTGAGTAAATTGGCAAGACCCAAAAAGTTTCCACAGAGACAAGAATCAGAGGGTGGAACTCACCTGTTGATGACTAGAATTTATAATCGTGATGGTCTTCGGGCGAAAAATGGCCACAATGATTGTTTCAAGGATAAAGACAAGACTAAAGAGGCCCCATGCTCTCTCTGGTGTGCCCGCTACATGGTGCAGAAGAAGTCTAGACAACTTAAGCCACTTCTCTAGTCCACGGAGTCTCAATTCTTCAGATAAAGAAATCTGATTTGGCAAAGTATTGTCAACACTGTTTGAGTCAATGATTGTAATATCAGTATTGTCGCGGTGATCTCTATCTGCATCCAAACTACTCCTCTGAAGTAGTGCCAATATAGTTGGATCCAAGTTTTTTTCCTTCAACATTACAGCAAAGTTAGGGTCCAACCCCTTGTCTTGCAGCAAACTAGTGAGTTCAAGATCACCTTCTTTTGCTTTCTTTTTAAGTATCGAGGCTATCCTAGGATCATTTAACTGGTCCTGGAAAGCAAGAGCCAAATTCAAATCCAAAAGCTGCTGGTTTGCAGAATTCGATGTGCTAGACTCGTAACCTTGGCTATCTAGACCACTGCTAGAGCAAACAACAAGAGTGTTATTCTGATCAGAAACTTTATCCAGAAAATAAGATGTTCCTGCTTCGGGCTCTTGGACCACAGAACGACATGAACTACTACGTAAACCTAAGCTTGGTCTTCCACTTTCTACGCTTTTGTCACTATTGATTCCCTCCTGAGAGCTGCCTGTTGTTAGATTGTCAGCCGTGCAAGATTCTGCGGTACGATTAGCTTCATTAGTACAACCAGCATGGCCAACATCGATACTACTACTTCTTTTCATACTTGAGCCACAACCATCTGAAGAACTTGAAGAACTATTCTGCTCCTTTCTCCGAAAACCTTCTCTCAAGCGGATCACTGTGCTCTGTAAGGCATCTCTTCTTGCAGCGGATGGGTCTGTTATTGATAGATGCCGGGAAACAGCAGCACCTGATAGAACTGATGCTACGAAAATGTAACTAATACAATGCCCTAGGTACCTGCAACAACATAAAGGATAATAACTTACATGCCATAAAGGGGGCAAACTTTAGATCTATAGATAAGTAACAAGCTTTTAGCACAGAAACAAACCAGTAGTGTATGCCAAAACATATTAGGAAAAGACGGGATGTGCCAGCAACAAAAAGTGCCAGAACACGATTCTGAAGAAGCTTAAACCCATACAAGCATGCCCCAATATTCCAGTCTACAAGAAAATATTAAGCATGAAGATGAGTTGAGGAATAATCAAATAGCCTGCTTCTACTCCAAATATATGTAAATAATTTGTATCTTTTTACCTAGAACAATAACTGCAGCTGATGTAATTCCTCCAAGCCAACGTGATTCCCTAGCTGTGAGGCCATATAGGACTGAGTAGGCAAGGAGAACTACGAGTGAGCCCAGGTACAGGAGGCCAAGATGTGAAGCCCTACAAATATGCAAGAAAAAAAATGTTTGTAATCTTCAAGGGACGACGATACAGGTAGGCAAAAATTGCAGCTGATTGATAAAAATATGAATGAGAGAACATTTCAGCGCTCAGTAATAAACAAATCATAACACCATCCACACCACCTCTATTGGGAAAAAAAAAAGCTAGAGAGAAACGGCAAAATTACTAGCCCTGAATCCTGTTCAGATTTAGGCTGGTTCCAAATAATCCATAGTTTGTTGATTGCAAAATTCAGGAACAATCATTAAATAAGGGGCTGCTGGTTTTAGGTAGAGAGCAACAAGAACTTACCTGCTGGTTTGCCGGGGATATAATTCATTAGGATCAGGAGGTTCTGGCAAACAAGCCACAGGACCCACTTCTATACAATCTGAATAAGCAAATTTATATGCCCTCCTTACATATTCATCCACATCTAACCCATTTCCTGCGGTGAACAGTTTCAACCATTTAGATCGAGGTTGGAAGTCAAAACATATTATACATGTTAATCGACATGGAAGATTTTCTTTGAGCTATTACAATAGACTGATAAAGTTGAAAACACCGCAATTGCATGTTGATTAAGGACTGCGAAGCCATGTAAGGATTGGGTAAACTTTACCATTAAAGACCATGCGGCAGATAAATAGCATGTTAATTGCCAACGCGATTGCTGATACACCGAAAAAGAAACCAGAAGGAGAATATTGCTGAGATGCATGTGCACCAGCCGTAACATAGACAGCACAAAGTTCATACGCACAGAGTAAGGCAACACCAAGAAGGAGAAGTAAAGCGACAGCTCCTGTTTGGTCAAAGGAGAATGTAAGAAAGAAGTTCAAGAACATTCACAATAAGTATTGATGAGTCACGTATGTTCTGCTTTTTTCCCATTCCTACATCAGATACTTCATACACTACCACTATGTGCCACAACTATTATCAATCATCAGAAGAATGTTGTGAAACTAAGTCAAAAAGAGTTGATTGTAAACATACTTGAGCTTTGCCACTGGGTCCTCCACCAAAGCATGATTGAGTAGAATGCCAGTAGAAGGGCTGTTCCAGCCATTATTACCGCAAGCCCAATGATATCTCGATCCAATATCACAATCAACCAGGAACCCCATCCTATCAAGATTGCAATAGGGGATACTACCACAATCCAAGCAAAAAGAGATAGAACACCACATAGTGCATCAAGCTGAGGACCTTGCAATACTTTTGGCCATTTTCTAGCAAAGATCCAGCTGCAAAAATAGAACACATTCCAAAATCATTCACACAACTATGGTTCTGTGTCAAAAAACTACTCATGTAAAGCAACTCTATCAAGCGCCATCTATGACAAAACAACACAGAGCTGCCAAAACATATGATTATGGATGAACTTATTTACCTATAGAGCCGCCATGGCCGCCAATTAACAGCCCAAAGTATCCAAAACGAACCCAAACCGAAAACCGTGAAAAGGGTACCCGAAATTACACAAGCAAGTAAGACTCCTCGCTCATCCCCTTCCATGGCTTCTTCTCCCACCTACAAAGGCATGCAACTCAGAAATCAAAATTCCAACACAGGGAAGCTAAAACCCCAAGCTTGCGCACAAATCATCAAATCCGCAGCTTAAATTCAACCAAGAACACAAAAACCAAACCTCAATTTCGCAAAACCCAGCTTAAATATAGAAACCTTACCTACTTGACCGAAATGAGCTTACTGTGCAGTGGCATCGAAGCAGAAGGGATCGCTTAAAAATCGAAACTTTAGCAGCCCTCAAGCAAAATGAGACATATTGGGTACAGATTTGGTTCACTAGGGTTTAAAATCAGAGGAATCAAGCAGTAAAGTAGAGAAAAGAGAAAGCAAGAAACCTAAGCTAGGGCTCACACTCTTATTAAGAGCTTGTGAAACACAAATTAGCTTCCTTTTAGGGTTTTTTCTTGCTTATGCTCTCTGTAAAATGTTGAAACTTTTTGAATAAATCTCAGAGAATTTTGTTTCTCAGGTTTTGGGAAATGGATAGAGAGAGAAAGAAGGTAAGATTAAAACCCTACCCTTCGAATGTGTGAACCCGTTAACTAAAAAAAAAAGCTACTACCTTTTTCTCACTCTCTCTCTTCCTCAAAGAGACGACGTATTGTAGAGAGAGAAAAAGTTTTTGTGGAAAAAAAAAACAATTAATTTAATAATAAAATAAATAAAGATATGGTACTGTCCGAACAAACGCTACACGCGCGTGTGAAAATCACGCACCAATGAGATACCAAGTGATGGAAACGCTCATTGGTCAGTGAGAATAGAATGATTTAGATACGGATTTAGCTAAATTAAGATTTGTCAAATAAAGACTTACATCTGTTTTTAATTGTTTTTTATTACCTGAATTTATGTGTTCTCTAATTACACAGAATATATTTTTGAAAATTTTAAATTAGTCAGAAATTGTTGAATGCACAAAATTGTGATTTGTGTGATTAAAAAAAGAAAGATAGAAGAAGACAAGAATGATAAAATAGTACCTAATCCATGAGTAAATAGTATAATTACTAAACATGTTTAAGTAAGTCAATTCAGGTTATAGGCTCAAAGCTCATAATCAGGAAAAAAGAAGTGGAAGACCAATGTCTTTGTCACAAAATTTATATCATTCAACTATATGATATAATATAAATTAGAATTTTTTTAATGCTTTTCTTGTCTCTAATATTCTTTAATCCCAATTTTAAGCCGATTAAGTCAAAGATAGTCTACTGAACCTACAAGACCATGTTGATTTTCAAAAGGCAGATCTAGAATATTAAAAGGAGAAATTTTTTACTTAAGAAAATAGCATATTTAAAATCTTTTTTGTAATTTATGATCAAAAGAAGGTTATGGGAAAATATTTGTTGTAATTCAGTATTTGTGTACTTATAAAGTTATAAGTTCATAATTGTAGTAAACTTGGAACTTTATTGTGAAAAAAAGTGGGGAAAAAAGTAAAATATGATTCACCCATTTGCAAAAGATGATCATCCAAAGAGACAGTTCATGAACCAGTCATCACCAAATGCAATCCATGATCACTTTTACTCTCTCTCTCTAAATGTGAAATCAAATTTACCAAAAGGTGATTAGAAAACAAAAATAAAATCTCTAATTGTCAAAAAAGGGGAATTAGAGAGTAGGTTTCATGAAGATTCAGGCAAAAGCTAGTTTTAGTTTCATGAAATTATTTGTTAATAAGAGTGAGAAAGAGAGATTCATTCACTTGATTAAACAAATCACAAATACAAAAGGAGACAAAGTAAAATTACACTAAGGGCCAAAGTTTCTGAGTTTTCAAAGAAACTTAAGCCACACCTTTCTTCTTCCCCACCTACTTACATGGAGAAAAAGACACCAAACTTTTACCATTACATAACTTTAACCATCCCTAAAAACTACCCAAGAAGGCGGATTTGAGTGAGTGTGTGTAGAAACAAACATGGTGAATTCACAAGACAAGAGAACTCGAGAGACGAGCCAGTACTACTTGGTGCCTAGTTTATGGACACTTCTGGTTTTTACCAGGACCTCCATAGTAAAAGTAATGGCCCCAATCATCATTGCTTCCGGTTTGAACATCATAACAGTTCGACTGTTCAGTGAATGTTCCCAGTCCTTTAGGTGCCTTGAGGTTGTTTGACCCATCAACCACCTGAATGTTCCTGAAGTAACTTGCTTTGCTAAAGCCTTCTTCTGGAAATCGACCACTGCCCATTTGCGTTGAAGTGTGCTGGCCATCTGATTGCGAGTTCACGACTTCTCCTCCCCATTCAATCATCGATGCACTTTCAGTTAAGTAGGAGAAGAGAAAAGATGGCCAATAGCCCAAAACATAGCCGTTCCCAAATTGCATCCACCAGTGTCCCTCTTTAGGATCCTGTGACAAAGTTAAACAGACCATTTCAGCTTTTCTTATCTTTTGGATTGCGTTAAAACTTATCTCTTCATGGCTTAACATACCTTCCAGATCAGAATACTGATATCGTACTGCGAATTACGATATCCAGAGACCGGGGAAATGCTTGCTCCCAATGCTATGTCGCTGTTGATTTGAATAAAACCCGAGCAGAGATGGTTGTAGCAACCGGTAGCTTGATATGCATCACTCTGCAAATAATATGGTGACGTAAGATAAAAGCGAAAAATGTAAGCAGAAACAGAAGCATATGACTGTAAGAACTTAATTAGGTGAGATTTCAGAATCTTACAGTCCAGTAAGTGAAGAGTCTTGTGTTATTGTCACCATACAGATCCGGGCTCACCTGTAGTAAAAGCAACAAGAATCAATAAACGAAACATAAAAAAAGAATCACACACAAATCTTATTCACATATCTTATATGTTTATCGATGAGATAACATTGTAGTACCTGCCAACCAGCTTCGATGCTGTTAAGATCTTGTCCGAATGAGCCACCAAGAAGCCATATCTGTGACAAACTGAACTCATTCTGCTGCTGTATCTTTGGCTCCCACACGTTAATAGTCGCCTTAGCTCCATAGTACTTATCTCCTTCCACATAAGCTATGGCATGCTGCAAAACAAAGAACACATCTCAGATCCAGAAACCAACAAAAAGGAAACTTTTCACAACACATCCACTCTTGACTCTCACCTGGTGACCACTTTGGTTAATAAGGTCAGGTTCTGCAGATTTAGGTAAAGGGACACTTCTACGCTTCTTCTTGCCATATCTTTTAACTGAACTTGCTCTCAAAACATCATCTTCCTTTGTCCTCCTCACGGGAATGGTTCCTTCAGTGCATTTACCATATCGATGCCACAACTGAGGGATATGCCCTTCTTTCTCATTTGATTTAGGAACAGACACTTTGTTGTCATCAAAAAGTCCTTCAGGATGGTAATTAGGCTTCATCTAAAGAAACCAAAGTAAATAAAAACATCAGCACTTAGAACATAAAACACAAAGCCAGATCTAAATCACTTTCTTTATTCTCTAGACCTGAATCTTGTGATCTTTGAGGAACGGATGATCAAAAGCTGGTTGCTTTGAGATTGGAACACAGTCAATAATATCACCATCCGGGCTCTGTTCAACCACAAAGAAACATAACATTCAAAGTCAGAAACTTTCAATTATGACCATAACTTTTTATGAAAATCTTGAGACAAAGTTTATTAATTGTTCAATAGAACAAATAAAAATAAAAGTGAAATCAAATCATTATGTGTAGTAGGAGAGAGAAATAAGGAAATCATCAGATTATGATAATGTTCTAAAGATCCTTCATTTGTCTATCAAACAACCAATCCAAATAGATAACACCAAAACACTAAAAAAGAAAGATTAGATTTTTATGCAATACCTGAATGCTTTTGACAGCAGGTTTGTTCAACCTGTTCAAATGCTTCTTCACTTCAAACTTCTGCTTTGATACGCCGGACCTAGCGGCGTATGATAGCGAGAAAAACCCCCAAAGAAATAAACATACAAAGAAACCTCTAGCTAACTTCACCGTGCTAAGATGCACCACTCCTCCCATGGTCACCCAAAAACACACTCTTTTTGTCCCACTGAAGAAGCTTCAAAAACCCCCAAAAGAAGAAGAAGAAAGAAACCTTAAAGAGAAGAAGAAGAGCTCACACAGGAGAATGAATGATTAATGTTTTGAAGGTGGGTCTGGTTTAGTTCTCGCAACAATCCAACCACACAGATCAAAATCCAAACTTTCCTCTCTCTTTCACCTCTCTAGACTTACACAGAAGAAAGCTTTCACTTTCTCTCTCTTATCACTTCACTTTCCCACTCTCCATATCTATTTTTAATTACTTTTTAACCCTTCTCTCTTTAGAATTATTTCCAATAATAAATACATGAATTGTATGTAAATACAATTTAATTTATACATTAGATAATGAAAATCGACTGGAACCAAATTTTCTTTATAATGTAGGTTGCATAGGACCCAAAATATTGATTGGAAATTAACAGAATAGTAATATTTTGAGATTGTACATGGTAAGAAAATAAAGGAATCTTGTGAAAAGTTGAAGAAAATAGTTAAAAATTTTAAAAGAGGGACAATGTGAAATGGTCAGAAGGAGCAGAGCCAGCTTGGCGTTTAATCCACGGTTATATAATTCTTTAAAATAGAGAATTCAAATTTCAATGTTATCATCACTTATCACTAAGACAAAGATTCTTTTATGCTCTCTAATCCTGGTCGCATGTTGCTCTGCATCAATTTGTTTTTCTATTCATTAATTTGTTTTACACGACCCATATTATATTAAGTTATTAATCTCCTCAGTTTTCGTCAACGGTAAAAGGTGATTAACCGTAAAACAATGTTAAAAGTAAGAAAAAAGTAGATCAATAATACTATAGAAACACCACACGGTTTTTTAATATAATGAGAACAAAAATTGTACTGCCAAAGGAGAGTATTTGTTTTATACTGTAATTGGTTAAAATGTTTTTATGTGGACGACTGGTCAAAGGAACGTCCATAAATTGTTTTTAACTTGCATGCCCATGATTATGGTAAATGCGAATTTTATAGTACAAATTTACGTCAAAAACACATACTATCAATAAATTATGAAATTTATGAATCATGAATGGTTTCAGCTTGTGTACGAAGGAAATCTAATAAATAGAGATGGAAATTTACAAGATTGATAAATGAAGAAATGTCAATAAATATCTCTCTATAAGACATTAAGACATTAACTTTAGTATCGTGCAAAAAAAAAAACTTTTGAGAAAAAATTCATATAAGGATATTATGGTAATTTTTCGAAGTCTATGAGAATCTACCGTTTGTTTAGATTCTTGTTTAACGCTGTTAAGTAGCGTCAGCTCCGACTCACACTGCCACTAACCAGAAAAAGCTTACGAGTAGAGATTCACACGTGTTGTAACCAAAGGCCACACGTGCGAGAAGTGGCATCACTCACCGTACGCGTATGTCACGCCCGTGAGAGAGAGAGCCCATGACTAACGCACGGATCACGAAGAGGGGTAAAATCGGAATTAGGTACAAAAATAGCCAACGGTCAAAAAAGATAATTATGGGAATCCGATGCCAAGAAAGATAATTGCAATCGTAAAGTTAAGTCTTCATATACAAAAAAAGACATCACATTAGCCTCATGAACCACGGTCTATGTTTCTTATGCAATTTCGATTAATATTAAACATTTTATCATCTCGTATTACCAATAATCGGATCTTGATTTTACTAATGACCCATAAATCTAAACGAATGCTATAAAAAGAGTGATTGATTTATTGTCGGTGATTGGTTTCTTGAGTGATTCACCATATGCAATGGTTAGAGTCTTGAGACAATACATTGAATTATAAAAGATGAAGAAAACAGATGAAAAAAAAGAAGAGGTGTATATTGTATAATATAGTGGATGATCTGGACAAAGTTCCATTAGTAAGCCACCCAAAACTTGTCTTTTTCATTTATTTTTTTAAAGGTCTATCAATTTATACACTTGTACATTTCTTTTATGTTTTAGCTTCTGCCCACTTGAGCGTGAGTCCAAAAACAGGAGGGAGCAAATGTCATCGATAATTGCTGCAAGATCACGAAATCACAAACACGTATGTTTTTATTCTTATACGTAATTTGTGTATATAATACATATTTATGCCATGATGCATCACATGGTGCATTTTCATGCTATGAGAATATTGGTGTCACATGTACCAATTATCATTTTTCTACTTGAATAAAGACTAAAAATATTTACATTGATCCGAGTGAAATTGTTGTTAGTGTTATGAAATAAAAAATAAAATAACAATATTTAAACCGTATTTTTGTTTTTAAATCATATATTAATTTTATGCTGTAAGCCTCTCAAAACTAATCCGGTCGTGATAATCGGAGTATTTGAAATCAATTCTTATAAACCGAAGATGTTGAATTCTTCAAATTTTCTATTTTAACTAATGAAATCCTTTTATGAAATGCCGTCAAACCATTAGTTTTCTTTTCTCTTTTATATTTTTTGGTGGAATATGATGAAAGAAGTAGAGGATGATGAAATGCAAAAGATTTGATTAATACATGCACAAGAAAGGAGGTGGAACCACAAGCTTTTCTACCATGTACATATTTTATTTATAGCCCTCCATTATTGTGTTCATAATGCAAGCTTTATAAACTTTATTACGAACTTTAGATTCTCTTTTTCGGTAAATCATTTTTTTTGTATTATCGAAATCTCCCTTCCTCTTGTAGGTTATGGGTAGAGCATTGTGTCTTTTTGTAGTTCAATCTCTTCTTTTTCTTGTGTTATGTAACATGTTCGAATCTTAATCAAATTTAATTCAGTGAAAAAAAAAAAGAAAGATGAGAAGTGTTTTTGGTTGTACTTTTTATACCAAGCACAATTTGTTTTGTTGGTGTAAACATGCATTTCTACATGTATAGACAGAGTAGAGAGATGTATATGTGACATGATTGGACATGATCATGTGAATGGAAGGAAGTGTTTGTCTTCATGGAAAAACTGTTGAGACATGTGACTCTCTTTTTGTTGTTTCTTCTTCTTTATCCTGGTGAATCACAGACACTGATGCAATAACAAAAATGAAACTTTTGAATCCAATTTTGACTTGTTACTATCTTTGACGCAAAATGTCAAGCATGTGTTCATCCTTTTATTGTTTCACACTAAAAGTCATGCACTGTGATTAGAAAAATCAGATTATTACTTCTCACAGAATTGAATTATATTTAAAATTGACCAAAAATTAGAGCAGAGGAGACCCAAAAAGAAATTAAATATTGAGAAATGGAAAAGGCCAATATGGGTCATATTTGGACCAACAATAAATTTGAACACTCGTTTTAAATTTTGTTTACAGGTCCAGAGTTTTCTGAATGAATTGACTCCTACCGGCCCATATAGAAAATAATCACTGCCTTGAGTCCCGTGTTTATAAACTAATGGAAAGTCTTAACAATGTTCTAAACAGGAATCAACTGTATTTCTCTCTAGATTGAAACCAACTGATATGACATATGAGAGTCAAAAGCTCAACTCTAGCAGATTCAGTCTTGAGGTAACAAGAAGACGTGCAGACCATTAAGTGGATCACTTGAGATGCAACAAGGGACATGAGGAGTTGAGAAAAAGCAGACAATATAATTTGGTGTTCAAAGAAATGTAACTATGTTGACCTAGCAAAAACACAACAGGTTCCTGGTTCTCAAGATTTCCAATCTGAGAAAACTTGTTTATTAGGTAGGATACATGATCTCAATCTCAGGTGTCTAAAACAATCAGTTTAGGTAGGGTCTTTTTCGGAAATGAGAATTAAACACCAACATTTTTGAAAAATTTCTCAAAAGATGAGGTTTCTGAAATTACTATATGTGTGCTAGATCTATACGTTTGTATGATGAGAGAGTGTAACGAGTTCGTATGTGCATAAAGTAAATGAGACACAAGAGATTTGTTAACGGGGTTCGGTTAACCTACATCCCCGGGACCAAGTCCAGAAACCATTCACTAGAAAAGGCCGCAACCTACAATTGCTATATGGTATGCACCACTCTTTTCTAGAATTACAATGAAAGAAAACTACTACTCCTATTGTCTTTTCCGACGAGTATAGCTTCTCAACAAAACCATCAAAAGATCTCTCTATCTTGTTGATGGGGCGACGTCACACACATGTGTGCCTCTCTCGATAAACCCTAGACGCGCAAGTCTTCATGTTGCCGTCTCTTGGTATTTATATCAAGTGCCAAAAACCCTAGACGACTTAAGCTACACTTAAAGTCTCTACAAGCAATTGGGCTTAACTTGAACAATGGCCCACGACCCACGTGGCCTTTTTTGCTTTCACGCTAGAAAGACTCAATCTCGATCTTGTTCCAACAGCTTCAATAGTGTTCCGACAATATCTGCACTTTCAATCTCTCCCTTCTTAACTGAGTTTTATAACTCAAGCTCACCATGTCAAGCACGCATACTCATCAATAATCATGATGTAAAAGCTCTCCCTTAATCATATATCATCTTGCTACTATTCTGTTCAAGAACTATCACAATCTCCCCCTGCTTGGTTGATAAAACTCTGTTAAAACACTAAGTGCAGAATCAGCTTAATCATACCTATTGGAGCATACTCCGCAATCAGAATAGCCTTCCCTTTTGAGCTCTACTATGATTTTCTTCCTCCTGAACCTGATTGCACAAGAACCTCAAAATCAAGAAGATCCACGTCTGATGTGGAGATACCAATCTTTGCTCTCTAAATTGTTACTTCCATCCAGAAAGCTTAGTCTTTATCAGCAACATGGTCAGTGGATTTAAAGAGCTAATCATCATAATCAAGGATCTTTTGCAAAGTACAAATCAAGGATCCTCCTTGCTTTAATATGTTCACATTTCTCTTCTTTTGCAAAATTCTCCTGCTTAATTGACAACCAAAGTCAACACCCATTAAGTCTTTACGTCTTCGTCAACAGATGGGCCAGAATAAAAATCCCACGAAGATATCAATTCTCAAACCAAACATGCATTGGTTTAAAATTAACAAACCAAGCTCCATTAATCAAATCCTTCATATGAGCAGCTACACGGCGGATGACACTCCCCCTACACCATTGCATCACA